GGTTTTTAAAATTCCTCTATTCAAGTATCAACTTATGAGGGCAACTGATGAATCATATTTAAAATAAACCTCTAATCGCCAAATTTGGGATAAAGTATTTGCGACTTAATTATCAATGGTTTGCATTTGTAATAGGTAAAGCATTGCATTTAATAAGAAAATGGAAGCACTGCCACAAGAAAAATAGTGAAGGATTTGAACATACAACTAATAGAATAATAGAAATGCGTATGTTTGAAAAGGTAAATAAAGAAATGCGAATTAAGACAGTGAGATGCCATTTTCTGCCTATGTGATTAGCAAAGGCTGATGATGCCTAGCGTTAACAAGGGAGTAGGGAAATAGGTATTTCATACACCGTACATGAGATTATAAATTGAACATACTCTTGTTAGAAGGCAATGTCCTTACCCTAGGACTCAACTGTTTTCAATTCTGGAAATTTCTCCTAAGAAAAACTGACATGCATGTGAAGAAATATGTATACAAATGTTCTCGGTGAAAAAAAAAAGAAAGAAATGAAGTGCCCATTGATGGGGATTGGTGAGATAAATGTTCAACATATTAGTTAAACTATAAGAAAAAGCAAGTTGTGAAACAGCATATACTATGTTTGTAAAATAATATGGCAGTATATCACTAAACTATATAGTTTATGAGGTATACAAACTTATGGGAGTAATTCATATTATATTTTGGTAATTCTGCAACTTGGTGTTACCTAATATACATTTTGTAATTGGACGACGATATAAAAAAAGGATTTCTCATCTGTTTATGGTCAGGAGGTAGCTGTATAACAATTGATTTTTATTCTATTTTTATTTTGTTTTCTTAAGCAGCCAATACTGGAAATAGGTCATATTTAGCAGTGTGGTCACTGACATTTGAAAAAGTTATTTTTGTTAGTAGTTCTTCAAATGAAGTGTTACTTGAAATTGAGCTAGCCTTGGGAAACTAGGAAGCAATCAGGTCTGATTATTAACACCATTGAAAGTGGAGAAGTGAACTACAGGTTCCAACTGTCCTAGGATGAAGTAAGAGTTAGTGAGTTTTAATATAAACATAAATATGTTGGAGATCATAAAGAACAAATAGGGTGAAAGTCCATTGCTGTCTCTCCCCCACCAAAAACCCCCCAAAAACCAGCAGCAATAAAAATACATACTGGTTTTAGAGGCTTCCTTCAGTCTATTCTGAATCTCTTTTTGTAGCTAGAAAACATGTGAAACAAGACTCCAATGTAAATGAAGAATGGAAAAGCATGTTTGGGTCACTGGAACCACCGGCCATCCCGCAGGCCCTACCGAAAGGGAGTGACCAGGAGGTGATTCAGACTGGGAAGCCTTCTCGTTCCGAGTCCTCTGCTGGCATTTGTGTCCCCTTGTCAACTTCTCCGCAGGTACTGTCACCCAGGCAGTAGTCTTCCTTTGGGATGTTTAAAGGCTGTGTACTGTACTGTAGGAGGACATGTTTCTTTTTAAGACAGGTTTATGTTTAATTTTATAGCCAAGGGGAAAACTAGTTATTGAAAGCATCAAAAAAGGTCTTGTTTTAGAGTACTCACTAATAAAGTGATGTGAAATTGTGATTGGAGACATTATTATGAACTGTGATTATAAATTAGTGTGCAGTGAACCTTTTATTTCTCTTTTTATTCTTCCTCTAGTATAACATCGTTATATCTGTAAATAACAAAAACGCTTCTGGGAAGAAAAGTCCCAGGTTTGCCCTGTGTGAGAATAACATGATGATTGAGATATATTTGAAATAAATTTGTAATTTAAGGTAACTCTTCCCTAGCCAGTCATATTTTAAATGAAAATATTTACTGAACAAATGGATAACATTCTATTCTTTTCACTTAACTTAATGAGGATTTTTGTTTAATGTTATTGCTACACTTATCATTTTTTTAATGTAGAAGTTTGCATATGTGATATTGTGGTTAAACTTAATTTTAACTAGGTTTTCATTGAAAGCGTCATTGTATTTGAATGGATTTAAAAATCAGTATGTAAATAAGGACAAAAAGCTGATTTAATGAGTAAAGAGAACATAGGTACATTTTTATCAACAGATATACTTTGCTTATGATATAAATACCTATAATTCTATTTGTTTTATAGGTTCCAGAAGTGACACATGCCCAAAGTAGAAAACCAACAATACAGGTTTTAAGTAGTACAATTTTACCGTCCACCTACCAGATTCGGATCACGACTTGTAAAACTGAGCTTCAGCAACTCATACAACAAAAGCGGGAGCAGTGCAATGCTGAGAGAATAGCTAAGCAGATGATGGAAAACGCAGAGTGGGAGAGTAAACCACCACCGCCTGGTAAGGTGCCATTGCTGGGGAGTTGTATTCCAGCCTGGGGTGCTGAAGCCTAGAATCTAATGCAGGGTACTGATAATTAACTACCAGGCAAAGGGAGTCAGAACAGACTGCCACTTTGGAAGCCTAGAGGAAGAAACAGTAAGTGAGAAATCTAAAGTCGTTAATTGTGGAGTTTGGATCATCTTAGCTGTAGGGGCAACTTGCAGTGTCTTGTTTAAGTCACTATTTTAGCCTGTCTGTGGCCCATTTTCCCCATTTACCAAGTTAGGTTTCACCTGCTAGTTTTAGTGCTATGCTGCTTTCTCATTGAATGCCAGGCTTCTTTTTCAATTTTCAATTTCTAAAGGGTTTAACATCTTAATTTTCTTTTAATTAATCCTCATTGGAGGATATATTTTTCCAATTGATTTTTTTTTAGGGAGAGTGGAAGAGAGAGGGAAAGACAGAGAGAAACATGGATGTGAGAGAACACATCTATTGGTTGCCTTGTGCATGAGCCCTGACCAGGCCCTGAGCCGAGGAGGAGCCTGCAACCAAGGAAAGTACCCTTGATCAGAATCCAAACTGGGACCCTTTGGTCTGCAGGCCGACACTCTATCCACTGAGCCAAACTGGCCAGGGCAACATCTTAATTTTCTTTTAAAAAGTGATTAAAAACATAGAAAATTATGGATGCTTTGAAAAGAAAACAAAATTACCTATGCCCCAACCATTCAACAATTATCAACATTAAGATTTTAGGGAAATACTCCTAAATGCTGAGATTTGAAAGAAAATTAAATATTTCAGATGAAAACGTGGCTCAGTTATGACTTGCCCAGTTTAATATGGTAGAGCTAGTCTTTGATATTAGATTTGCAGATTTTGAAAAACATTTTTAATGAGTTTCTATGTATAGATTTTTAATAATAAAAATTTATCTTGAATACTGAGGAGAAAGGTATAGTGTGGTTATGTATAGAGATTTAAAATTATGTGAATTTCCATGGGCTTCTATTGTGAACTCAGGGAAATGCTGGTGTAGATAAATGTTTTAAAGATTTAGAAAATATTATTAAGTGGTTAGTGGCATTTTGAAGTTACATTAATTTTCTTATCAAAATAAATACCCTGGAATATTTAAGTTGTTTCTGTAATATAGTTCAATATTATTTACCAACACTGCTTTAAAAAAAAGTTGACCGCAAGCTATTTTATTTTTTGATAGAGCCTGTCTTTTTTAAGTGGCATTTTGTACTTTATGTGGAGCTGTTATACATTTTATACATTAATCACAGAAAAGGTGTCAAATTTTGTGGTTCAAGAAATGTGCAGTTGTTGTGTGAAATTGATTTTCTCTAGCCTGGGAGATTATTTAGACTTCATGGCAAAGTGTTTTGATCGTTTTCAAATCCAGCATATCTTCCTTAAAAATCATATCCAGCTGTTCTTCTCACACATGTGGTTAGAGATCCAAGGGGGGGAAACATTGTATTTTTTATCTTAGTGTAAGCCAAGTTTGGAAGTAGTCTTGGTTTCATTTTTGTTTCTTGATAAAAAAGAATTTCATCCTAAAATGACATTGTTATTACTTAAGTAGGCACAATGCTAACTCCTAATATAGTATGATCTTTAGAGTAGCTTTCTGTTTTGTTTTATTTTAAAATTATTAAAAATGAAATGTTGCACATACTATAGAATTTTATTCATCAAACCTTAAAGACAGTTATGTGCAAGGACATGCTAGATAATATGAATTATTCAGAATAGATAAAACATGGTGTCTTAGCCTCAGAGAATTTATAATTTATTAAAGGAAATTACTCATACACAAAAAATATATAATAAAACAGAAAGGTATACTAGTAGATGTCATAAAGAAGTACTAGAAAATTCATGGGCATTCTGAGGCTGTAATTTATAATACCATTTATACTAACACTAGAAGCCCGTTGTACGAAGATTCACGCAATAGACCTTCCCCTAGCTGCTGGCACCCAGGACCCAGGCCTTTGGTCCAGCGGCAGTGAGGTTTGGCTTTTCTGCTGCGGCCACAGCGAGGCTTCAGTCTTCACTCTGGCCGGAAACTTCAGTCTTCGCTCTGTGCCTGCATATACAAATTAACTGCCATCTTTGTTGGGTTGATTTGCATAGTTGTTCTGATTAGCTGGTGGGCATAGCGGAGTGACACCAATTTGCATGTTTCTCTTTTATTAGTGTAGGTGTTGATGCCATAGAATAAATGACTGCAGGTAGAGAGGAAATCAACATTGGGTGCTTATGGACCTGGGTCAGTGTTAGACTCTGTACATCTCGTTTATCCATGTAGTGAGTTTTTGGTTGAAGTAATATTTCCCACATTTTATATTTGAGGAATTGAAGCTCAGAG